AAACATGAACATGGGGTGGCAAGGGTGACCTGCTCTGCCAGACGTGAGGACATATTACAAAACTGTTTTAATTAAAACCATCTGATACTGAAGTAGCAATAGAAAAAAAGAACAGGGCAGCACATGTGGCTCAAAGGAGTAGGGCGCCAGCCCCATATGTCAGAGGTGGTGAGTTCAAACCCAGCCCCAGCCAAAAAAAAAAAAAAAGAAAAGAAAAGAAAAGAAAAAAAGAATAGTGTAGTGAGCTCAGAAACAGACCTGTGTGTTTGTGAGAATTCAATGTATAATGGAAGAAACATCAAAATAGGAAAACAAATAAAATATGCTCCCTACCTTACACTATACACAAAACTGAATTCCAGAAGGATTAAAGACATAAAGCCAGCTTTTTAAGCGCCACCTCCTTCTCCTCCTGCGGCTACTGCCAGCCTGAGTCACTGGCTGCAGCTTTGGCAGACTCCCCGAACTAGCCTCCAGTATTTGGAGATCTTAATGACATGGCAGACATTTACAACAAAGACAGTGTGAAATTGAGCAAGATTTGGATGATGTTGGAGAAGCCGGAGAAGAAACTAGTGAAGAAACAAAAATCAAAGGTCATCTGCTGATTGTTTAGATGATGCAAAATCTTCAGATTATTTCAGTTCTTCAAGAAAGACTTGATGGCTGGGTGCCCATAGCTCAGTGGTTAGGGTGCCGGCCACATACACGGGGGATGGCAGGTTCAAACCTGGCCGAGGCCTGTTAAACAACAATGACAACTACAACAACAACAACAAATAGCCAGGTGTTGTGGTGGGTGCCTGTAGTCCCAGCTACTTGGGAGGCTGAGGCAAGAGAATCAATCGCTTAAACCCAAGAGTTTTTGTTTGTTTGTTTGAGACAGAGTCTCACTATCTTGTCCTCAGTAGAGTGCTGTGGCATCACAGTTCACAGCAATCTCAAACTCTTGGTTAAGCAATTCTCTTGCTTCACCTTCCCAAGTAACTGGGTCTACAGGTGCCTACTACAATGCCCAGCTATTTTTGTTGCAGTTGTCATTGTTTGACTGACCGGGCTGGGTTTGAACTCACCACCCTCGGTGTATGTGGCTGACACCATAACCACTGTGCTACGGGTGCCACCGTAAAGCCAAGAGTTTGAGGTTGCTGTGAGCTGTGATGTCACAAAACTCTGCAGAGGGTGACATAGTGAGACTATGTCTTAAAAAAAAAAAAAAAAGATAGATAGACTTGATGGTCCGGTAGAAACACCAACTGCCTAAGGTAGTGAGCACTCTCAAAACCTTTAAGTTCAATGTGCATAGATAGAAGCCAAATTCTATGAAGTAGTTCATGATCTTGAAAGGAAGTATGTTGTTCTCTATCAGCCTCTATTTGACAAGTGATTTGAGATTATTAATGCAATTGATGAACCTACTGAAGAAAAATGTGAATGGAAACCAGATGAAGAAGATGAAATCTTAGAGGAGCTAAAAGAAAAGGCCAAGATTGAAGACAAGAAAAAGAGCTCCCAAGGGAATTCCTGAATTCTGGTTGCCTGTTTTTGAGAATGTTGATTTGCAGGCAGCACCTGTGGCTCAAAGGAGTAGGGCACTGGCCCCATATGCCAGAGGTGGCAAATTCAAACCTAGCCCCTGGCCAAAAACTGTAAAAGAAAAAAAAAAAAAAGAATGTTGATTTGCTCAACAATATGGTTCAGGACCATAATGAACCTATTCTGAAGCACTTGAAAGATATTAAAGTCAAGTTCTCAGATGCTGGCCAGCCTATGAGTTTTGTCTTAGAATTTCACTTTGTTT